ATTATAGTCTTGGCTGCAAGACTATAATAGTCTTGGCTGCAAACTCCTTAGGAAGAGGCTTCACTTTTCACATGGGCCAACAGCTACTCACTAACAAAGGGGCACAGGAAGAAAGAGGTGGTTCGAAAGTGACCACTTCCTGAGCACTCACTCATGGCCTGGAGGTTCACATACTTTGCATCATTTAGTGAGCAACTTCCCGAGGAACCTAATGCTATGGATGTGGAGAAAAAGGAATGAGCGGTTCAGGTATCTTCCTGGTTGTTGGTAGATGACAGATACATATCTGTACATATGTAGGAATGCATTTATTATTTTAGAATAAATATTTACAAGCATTCATTACTCTTAGGTGCATAAAGAGGCATAAGCCATAGACTGAGTCCTCAAAGAGGCAAGTGATATAAAGAAACAAGTCCAAAGTTAAATAACCATTTGAAAAGTATGAGACTTTAGAACTTGGACCCATAGTGAACATTAACTCCAGAGTCTCCTGAAGTGATGTGTGTACATTACTGGCGGCATGTAAGCTGATTTGAGTGTTACACAGACATTTAAATATTCCATTAGGTATTTATTTTAACGTGTATTGATATCAAAAAAATCTAGAACTAGAATATCAAACCCTTGAGTATATGGATATTATTGGTTCGTGTGAGACTACAAATGAACGTGGTTTGATGTAAAGATATCTAAGGGAAGATATTAAGTAAGTAGCCAGATATAGGAATGTGGTTCAGGGACATGGTAATAATTTTGCAAGTGTTATTTGAAATACCTCAGCTTGGAAAATGCAGATTAAATCCAGTCTGTGGAATGCAGAGAAGTTAAGTAAGTTGTCCACACCAAGACCCTGCAGAGAACATAGACCAGAATCTGGTCACCTGATTTTCCTCTCACCCTACATTCAATCTCTTCTTCCTGTTCTGCAGATGAGGAAACTGTAGCCCCGAATAACAAATTCTTACTTTTACATGTCCCAATTCACATGAAAACATGAATGCCAAGTAGAAAGGAGAGAGCTGGCCTCATGAAAAATCAAAGTTAATATTTATAGAGTGCTTATTATGCATGCCAGTATTATAAAAATTCCATACATACTAATGTATGGTAATCTTCAATCCATCCTGTGAAATGTACTTAGCTATTTCTACCATCTCTCTTTTCATATGAGGAAATTAAAAAACAAAAATCAAGTAACTTGCAGAGCTAGGATTTGAACCCAGACAGTCCAGCTCCAGAATTGGTTCTCCTCCCCGCTACCCACAACAGCAAGTGAAGAGGTGAAGCAGATGATATGTCTCCTGGGGGGACCTGGAATGGTCTGCTCAGACAACACAGTATTCCCCTATTCCCTCCTATTTCAGATTTCTCAATTAGTCTGTTATTTATTTTTATGGAAGACACTGCTTCTTCCAACTGTCATTTTTTTTTATGTGCAGAAGCTCCCGAGAGACAACAGTGATTAACAAAAGCAACCCTTTTATGTGTAGTTTGTTAGATCACTTTGACAAGAACTATAAAGAAATAGTCCCACCCCCAAAGGAAGGTGAGGGTGAGACTTGGGAGTTAACTGGAGGGGGAGATAATTTTGGGAGGATGTGGGGCTGAGTGACAGAGGAAGGAGGCCCGTGCAGGACTGGCTCGGTGCACTGCAAGGGGCCACCAGGTGTTGTGAAAGTCCTGCTTGCTGCCCAGTGCTTGGCACAGCACCTGGCATGGAGCAGGTGCTCAAAACCAAGTGAATGGAAACCTGGATGGAAACAGAAGCCAAGTGCAGAGAGAGGCATGGATGGGTACAGTGATTGGAGGTGAGAGGGCATCAGACACTCGACCTACTTTGTAACTTTGCTTCAGGTAAGCCCAGAGAGGCGAGCACAGCACCAAATTTCCTATCAACAGACAACAGGGCTGTGCACAAGCCATTTCAAGCTCTTCTGATGTAATTAGGACACCTTGCTTTGGGGAAATTGATTAAAATATATATTTTTTTAATTTAAGTGACATTGGCTTATAACATTATATACATTTCGGTATACAGCATTATAAACCAATGTCTGTATATACTACCTTATGCTGATGACTGAAAATCAAATTTCATCCTTCGACATCCTTGACCCTTGTGATATGTTTTCTCACTGCCTGCTCTGTTTTCTTTTGTAACCTGTGCTACCAGCCCCAATTCAGTCTTCCTTAGTTTAAAATCTTCATTTTCCCTCCCTTGTGGGCACTTCAGGGTAGGCCAAGGCCATCTGGAAGCAGAGCCAGCCTCCTTTGTGTGGGTGCCAGGGGGGATCAGCCCAGGGCACTTTTCTCCACCTCACCAGCAGGTGCTGACAGCTGAATTTATTCCACACACCTTTGGGGCAAAGAACTGCCAGAAACTAGGACCAAGTTCAGCGTCTCAAAATTCTTCTAAAGGCTATGGGCAGAAACCTGGAGGGTCCGTTCAGGTGTGACGTAGGCCAGAGTTGGGGCCACCGAGAGTGCCTGGAGTCCTACCTCTCGTGATGGCGCAACTCTTACGCAGAAGCACTTGGGAAGTGTTGCAACCCGACTCCACGACTTTATCAAAAATGTGAAACATTCACCCAGCACACACTTAGCAAACACTAAAGCTCTTCTCCACCAGGTGGTTAAAGCTGCTTGATGGGGTTGACAGGAGGGTGGCAGCACAGGGGGGCATGACTTACTGTAGCTGTTGGCCAGGGAAGCTGAACACTCAGTACCCTGTACCCCATTAGCCTTGGGCAGCGCAGGCCTTTGATAAAATGTACTTTTTTGTGTGTTTGTTTTTCCTGGCAGCCTCATTTTGGGTTATAAATGGCTCATTATTTCCAGCCCATAGATTCATTCTTGCCACTATTACGTTCTCTTTTTGTTTTTCAAAAGCACCTACAGGTTGGTAAAATCATCACTGATGAAACCTGCATGTTCTGACCTTGAGCAGAGGCTGACTTTGCACAATGCTCAAGCCACCTCCAGTGGGTCCCGTGTGGGAGAGGCTGGCTGGACTGGCCCTGAAAGCAGGGGAGAGTGTTTTATTTACACTAAAGCACTGGGTGCTACTAAGTGCCAGGAAGTGGCACGGGCCCTCGCTCACTCCAGCCCTGCAACCTTTTCAGAGGACTATTGGGCAATCACTAGAGGTTATAAAGTTGGAACAGCATCTCCCCCAATAGGTCATTTTCCCTGCAGGACAGCCTGGAGACAAATTTTATGAAGTATCAAGTAGCTGACCCAAAGCTGTAAAAATAGCGAGAGAGCATATGACAAACACAGAACTGAATGTGGTCAAACCCCCGGCTGAATACGGGTAATGTGTTTACTGTCATCAGCATCTGCACAGAGACATTTGCCCAGCATTGCTCCAGGAAAGGCCTAGAACCATAGAAATGGAGTCAGGAAGGCTCCGTCTTGGAAAAGTAATGTTATGCCTGCTTTGAAAGCTTGCTGACCACATGGTTAACCTGGGGAATGGATCTACGGACAGGTTGAATGTGCTTACACGCCATTTAGAAATGAGAGACAGAGTCTTACAAAACATCCCAAATTCATCCAGGCAAGAAAGAGCCGGGAAAATGCATGGAAGCATGGTTTGTAGGGGATAAAAGTGGTCAGAAGTCACTATCAGGCAAAAGGCACCCCCAAATTAGAATTTTTCAAGGGAAACATGGAGAGAATTCTAATTCAGGTCTGCTTCCCCACTGCTCCCTATCTTTTTAAAAAATTATTATTTTATATATTTTTTTACATCATTTTTCATTTTTGTACAATGTATGCATTTTCATCTTGGGTATAGTCCCCGTGAAATTCCCACCACCCATTCACCCATGAGCTATCACCATGGTTCCAGCTATCATCATGGTTCCAGCTCCCTGTTTCTAGCTATCACCATATCTTTTTTTTTTAAGGATATACCACATTGCAGTCAGGCTTGAAGGAAATTGATCAGGTTGAGCTATGAGAGGCCATTGGGCTTTACAAGACCATTTCCTAACCCAGCTGATTTGTCAGTCTTATTCTCACTAGTTAGAGCTGTTGACATTCCAGAAGGTAATCTTGTGGGAACACGATGGTGGGAAGAGGCTCTGGGAAGTGGGCGTAAGTATGATGTAGAAAGGCATTGGTTGAACGTTTCCGCTGAGACACAACAAATTTCCAAGATGTCCCTGGACCAACCTGCAACTGCAGCATTTGCATCCCTGGTTAAGAGGAGACTTCTACTTCATCGGGATCTAAATTCCACTATGGTTTTGAAGTGGCAGTGTTATTCATGTCTGACTGCTTTGAAGAACACAATACCCCCTGAATATATCCATTCCTGTGCACTCATTGAAAATCTATATCCTTCTCCTTTTGCTCCCCACCCCCATCAGCCCCTACTGGAGCCTTCAATAACCCTTTTATGGCTAGGTTTCCTTGTATGCTGTAAAAATTAGCAAAGGACAGTCATGTACCCAGGTAAAGCTTATTTGCAAAGCTCCATTAATAATTCAGGAATGATGTCAACCCTAATACCTTCAGGCTTGTTAGCAAATCAACTACTTTCAGTGTCTACTGGGAAGTATTTTGGGAGATGGAGTGGTCATAGCGTTGGCCTTTTTGCACTTAAGCCCAAGCTAAGTACTTCTGCTTATGCAGAGAAAAAGAAGTTCCTTGGACTGTGAATTGCATAAAGGCCTGCCCTCCTCTTGCAGTGGAATCTTTCGAAGGTTAAGTAATAGTAAATAATCAACTAAGATTTCTCAGATTGCTGCATTTACCTTTCTCAGAAAAATTTTTCCCCATAGAGACGAAGCAAATTTGGAATGAGAGCACTATTTCCTCTTAGGCCTCCCTGCCTCAGACATTGAGAGAACAAGATCAAGCCTGGCCTGGCTGGCAGAGACTGCCCAGGACAGAGGCTAGACTTGCCATGAGGGTGAGGGGTGGCCAGTTAGAATTTAACAGAAGGGAGGGGAAGAAAGCAACTTTTCATCTTGTAAATTTCCGCACAGGTCCTTCAGCAACATCCATCAGCAAGAAAAAGGCAAGCAAAGTCTTGACCCTCACCCATCAATGGAGGTAAAGAAAATCTGGGAGTCAACTCCTGGAATGTGAGTTTTATTGCAAAATATATGTATATTTTACATATATAGTATGTATAATATACTATATCACTTGTTCAAAGGAACAAGTGATAGAAGTAATACACACGTGGTGAGAGGTTGTCCTTGATGTTCAGGGTCAGGTCATGATGATTCAAGATGGTTAACTCAGAAAGGATGACAAACAAGACCCTTTGTATTCATCCATATTACAGGTGCAAATACAAGTTGAACTGATGTGAGTGGGGTGTGGTGGGGAAGAAAAATCTATTTATTAGTGTTACCTACATAATCTTAATGGTGAAAGAATTAATTGCTTTTTTGCAGGGAACATAGAGTTATAATTGTCCAGGATACACTGATTATATTCATAGTTAATGTCTATTTAGCAAACATTATTGGGGGCTTAGTGCCAAGCACTGTTCTAGGTGCTGGGAAGGCACCCAATAATACAGTAGAACTTCACAAGCTGGTTAGAATTTTGCAAGTTCCCTCCATTCCCTATTCTCAGCAAGAGCACAGCCAGAGCATAGCCAGAGCCAGCTGCCTTGCTCTCTACCACCATCTCCTAAGATAATGACAGTGCTGTTTAAAACAAAAGAACATGTAACGGGCATATTTATAATGTTTTTTTCCCCTTTCTTTTAATCACCTTATTATAAGATCTGTTGTAAAACTTAGAAGTCCTTTTTATGTTAGAAATCTGTTCTCTCTGACTAAATAACAGCAACTTTCGTCAAGTTCTTTAATCTCTGGGACTAAATGTAAACGCTTATAAAATGAGATGGTAGAAAGTAGGGCTGAATTGATTTATAGACTGAGTTTAGGATATGCAGTGAGAATAGGCTGAGAGGTAGAAACTGTGAACTGGTCACGAACAAGCTGTATGACCTCAGGGAAGCTGCTTAAAATTCTTAAAATCTTCATTTCCTTATCTGAAAAATGGTGCTAATGAAATATTTGTTGTAAAGATAAATGAATTCATAAGTAACGTGCCTGCTTCAATGCAGGACATAGTAGAAATCCCTGTTTCTAGAAATCTCATTTGTACCATGCCTTCAGCAATCACCTCTATGCTGTATCTCCAGTCCGAGTTTTCCTCTAGAGCCAAAGATCTCTCTTTTTTTTATTTTATATATTTTTTACATTATTTTTCATTTTTGCACAATTTATGCTTTTGACCATAATCCCTCCTATCCCCCTCCCCCCATAGTGTGTCTCTGGCTTATAGTTACTTGTTGATTTTGATTTTTACTTTATTATAAAATGTTCAGCATCACTTGCAACCACAGAAATGCAAATCAAAACTAAAATGAGTTATCATCTTACACCAGTGAGAATGGCACATATTAAAAACACTAGCAACAACAAATGTTGGCGAGGATGCGGAGAAAAAGGAACTCTCCTGCACTGCTGGTGGGAGTGCAAACTGGTCCAACTGCTATGGAAACCTGTGTGGAGATTCCTCCACCTGCTAAAGATGGAGCTTCCGTATGACCCAGCAATTCCACTCCTAGGTATTTACCCAAAGGACACAGAATCACTAATTCAAAAGGGCACCTGCACCCCTATGTTTACAGCAGCACTATTTACAATAGCTAAGCTATGGAAACAACCCAAATGCCTAAAAATAGATGACTGGATCAAGAAGATGTGGTACATATATACACAATAGAGCCAAAGATCTCTTAATAGTGGCAGCAAAGGCAGTGCAACAACCACACTAAGTTAACTGAGCAGATACGGTAGTCTTTATTTAGATGGAGAAATGGGCTTTGAAAGGTAGGTGACTGGCCCACAGTCCCCTCTAGTGAGAAGCCCAGGTCCGCAGCTCGATAGTGAGCTCCATCTCGCTCTATGAAGTTGAGCTACATGATGTATTAAGCGTGTTTTGTACAGTTTTTTCATTTTTTCCTTTTAATTCTTCTGAAGTTATTATATCTAATGGAAATTTAAGTGTGGTAAGATCTTGGCCAAGCTCATAAAACAAAAAGAGTGTAAGTTCTTCGAGGGCAGGGAACCTGTGTATTCAGGCTTTAATTCTCCAACCTGACACAATGTCTGACAAACAGGAGGTGTTTAATAAGTAGAAATTAATGAATGCTGCATGTAAAAGAAGCTAAATGTAAGAGACAATACAGTTTTAGTGAGCAGATGTATCTGAACACAGGGAGAAGAGAGGTAATGACAAATGGGAGGAGAAAGGCAAGGTTTCATGAATTCTACTGAATTTGAGTTGGACTTAGAGAAGGAATAGGAATTTGTACTATGTGGAGGTTTCCAAGGGAGGTTCCTTTTTTTAATCTAATAGCCATGCTGAGGAAAAACTGCACAATAATCCATCTTAGGACATTTTGAGGATAGTATAAATTTTAAGCAAGTTCCTTTTTAAAGAAAAAACATCTCTTTGGAACATATGTAAATTTCCTCTTGACAAATTGGACTTTTGAATCGACTTTCCTCAAATTCAGAAAGTATTTGGTGTAAGGTAACTTGTCTCCAGAGCTCCCTGTCCGCAACAGCAGCTATGTCCCATCTTCTCAGTCATCTGGAATGTCTTTCTGGAGCAGGTGTTCAAGGGTTCCCACTGTTAGGAAAGCTGATTGACAGGTACCTGGACTTGTAGTTGCTTATGAACTTTCAGAGTTCTTGACCTGAGATTCCCAGATTGTGGATACAGTCCACAGAGTTTGTGAGCCTCATGGAATTATAAACAAAAACTTTAGTCTTCTTCTGTTTCCTAAGTATAGTTTATAGCAGATTAATCTGTCTTTTGAAATTTTAAAATATAGAACCATACAAAGATCAAAACAACCACTCTATCTTATCCGTTAGAATTAATCACTCTTAATTTTTTATATGAATATCTGGTCTCTTTCTCTCTATTGATAGATTTTTTTTTTTAGAGATTTATTTATTTTTGTACAAGAACCAGGGTACAGGCCAGATGTGTGGGAAGGTAAGAGAATTCATCTGAGACAGAGCAGGTAACAGAACAGGCAGACTGACAAAATACACAGCTGAGGGGAGCAGCAGGTGAGACAGGAGAGGTCCGCCCCGCCATGTGGGTATCTCTAACGCTGGCGGGGATCGAACTGGCACTGCAGAGGCTGTGGACAGCCTCATACTGCTGCGCTCAACTGCCTGCACCAGCAGAGAGGCCCTCTATTGATATATTCTTAAAAGCACACAAAAGTATACAAATACAGTGTTCCCTTATCATTGATTCTTAAATAATATGTCATTCAAAAAAGTTTAATAATCATTTTTCTCTAATGGACTAATTGTTATTGACATTATTTCTGACTGAGCCAAAATATACAAATCTGTTTTAATTCTGTGAAGTTTCATTATGGGACATAGTATACATAAAACATCCATTGGCGTCCACTGCTGGCTGAGACACAGAGTTACGATTAGATAATGACACAAATGGCTGTCATCTTGATTTAATCTTGATTTCATCCTGGTCATTTATTATCTGACCATTAGTTCTGAGTCAAAGTCCTTTTTTTAAAAAACATGGCATTTAGTATAGTAACCACTTCATTTATACATGCTATATTATATATAACTTTATACTTATATGCTATCATGTAACAAATAATACTATATTATAAATTACATCTTTTATAGACACATAGTTGTCAATATTTTAATATTTAAATACAGATGTGTTATATGTAATCCATATGTTACATGGTACCTATAAATAAAATAATATACATACTATATTATGCATTTACATGTTTGTTGTATGTGGTGAGTGGTGCATTTTCATGTAAAACTTGTTAAGGAAGGAGTTTCTGCTCTGATAGAAGAATCTAGTTGTGTGTCCTATTGCATTACTATTTTAAATGCATTTTCCAGAAAAATGATATATCCCTTCATCTTACAGAGCATTTAATACATTCATAATTTTCCTGGTGTTTGTTAAAAACTTTGAAAACTTACATTATAGTATATGTAGGGTGCACAAATTTTAATTTATCAGCTTAATGGCATTTTCATATGCATTCTTCTCTATGCTGATAAATGTGTACATTTAGTGTTGGTTTTTTAAACATAAAGTCATCCATTTATTATGTTTATTTCATATCTACCCCACCACTTTCTAATTAAAAATATAAAGTGGCCATAAGGAGCAAGGGGCGAGAAAAAAAAGGAAAGAGTGTGTTGGTGTGTCCTACCCTTTCCGGCCCCTCAGGCATCCTTTCCTATGTGACTCCACACAGACTGTTTAATAGTTAGGTGACTATGATGGGGTCAACCATTTTATTCCCATTTTAAAGATGAGGAAATTGGTTTTCAGAGTGGCTAAGTAATTTGTCCTTGGTTACAGTTAGCAGGATTTGATACTAGATCTCTTTGGTACCAAAGCTTAATTCTTTCTTTTAGCCGATCACTGAAAGCCATGATATACTTTCTGAACTTAGGTTTCCCTGAAAGCAGAACAAGAGATATTTTATTTGAAAAGTGATGCCAGAGAGGAGTAGGAAATAGAGGATGAGAAAGGGAAGGTGGGCAGCCATACAGGGATGAATTATCTATCTGGTACTGTAGCAGTCAACTTCTGGCTTGCTAAAACCTTCTAAGGAACCTTGCAATGTGTGCCTGGAAGGCAAAAGAAGGCACTGTGTATTCATCAGGTTCTGTCATCCATTGTTCAAGTTTGGTCCCATGGTATTAACAATCCTTTTACTTCTGGGTTCAAATGTGTTAGTACCAAGCAGGTTCTCCTAGGTTTCCTGCATCTTGGCAAAAGAGAAGAGCTGGGATGAGAAGTATGACACAGGTAAGACATATCAGATCAAACACACACAAAAAAAAAACTGGGCAAAGAGTCTGAGGAACTCAGTGTCCCAGCAGCGGCAACAGGAGGTGGAGTTGAGGGCATGTGAACTGGTGCATGACATGTATCCAGTACATTTATCAATAGTGGTTTGGTAGTGTAGACCCAGATTGGGAAATAATTTT